CAAATGAGATATTTGGAGAATGCTTTGCTAACTTTTAAACACTTTATAAATTACTATTAGATTACTAAATTACTATCACTATTATATAGCATTTTTAAAGTTTGCATAGAGCTTTACATATGTTATTTCACTTCATCCTTATAGTAAGTCTGGAATATAAGTACTTTATTACCTTCATTTTATTGATGTGGAAACTGAAGCAGACAGAGGTTAAATGACTTGCCCAGGATCAGATGGCTAGTAATTATATCAGGCAGGATTAATATTCAGGTCATCCTGACCAAGTCTAGAATTGAGCTACTCGGCTGTCTAGATTTAAAATTTAGATAAGATGTGATCCTTGCTTTCATGGAACTTGTGGCCTGGGAGAATCAAATAACCAATACTAATTGATAAAACATGCAATATTACGTAACAAGTGCATTTGAGTTACAAAACAAAGTGTAGTATGAGGTCTGAAGCAGAGGAGCAGGAAAAACAAACTGAAACCTTCAAAATATTAGAGTATAATTCACCTATAATTAAACAGATTTTTTTTTATCCAAAGCTCCATCTGTGAAATTTAGGGGTCTTCTGAATTCCAAGTTACCCCTGAGGTACAGTTACAATGAGTTAGAGAATCAAGAATGTCACTCATGTTCCTGTTACATTAATATTCAAACTGTACCCTTTTAAACCTGGTCCAAAAAAACTTAATAAGGCTCAACAAATTAATGCAAAATTCACTGCTCTTAGAGGACAACAGTTTGGATAAGAAAATGCAAACATATCCAACAATATATCTTTAAAGGGTTTAATTTACATGTCAATTACCCATACTAGCATCAGCAAAGTAAACATATCTGTCCATGAGGTACCTATAGGGAATCTGATCCAAGTGAGACTAAGGCAGAGCTACCAAATCAGAGACTAAAAGTAATTAAACATCTTGGCCAGGATATTAACTGTGTGATTCCCGACTACACAAAAGTTAGGGTTGAACTTAATCTTAGTAAAACTACAAAAAGTTGAAAGTGGAGATCTGGTCAGCTTTTTTACCTAGATCATGGGTTATCAAGCAGATAGCTAAGATTCATCAACAAAATGTTATAAAAACAATAATAAAAATTTTTAAACTTTAATAATAATTTAGTAATTCTAATTAATATAATGCTAGTTAGAGTCCCATCGTATGTCTCTGATGTTGGAATGTTAGAGTGCTAATATGATTTGTGATGGTAATCCTTTCACACTTGTTTCTAAAGCAACATAGAGCTAGCTCTAAACAGTCATAGGTGGATCAACAGCAGCAGGTTTTACATCCTCATTGCTTAGTTTTGGTACTAAGAGAGCATATAGCTAAGAACTATGATAGCAAACATAAAATAAAAGTTGGGAAATTTGTGTTAAGTAAATAAAGGTAAACCAAAACTAAAATTTTGTAAAAGGGAAAATACAATTCCACAAATATTAAGCACCTCTTCCTATGTGTAATACACTGGCTAAGTGCTGGGGAAAGATGCAGCTATGAGTAAGACACAATCTCTGCTCTGATGGAGCTTGTCTAACTACAATCTAAAAGGCTTAAACTTCTAAGAGATGTATATTTGTTTTTCCAATTTATGACTATCAACAGCAAAGAATAAACTAGTCTGCCAGTGATGAATGCATTGTTTGAATATGCTACCAAAAACCTTGATTTTTAGCTGCAATTCTTAATTTTGCAGATAAAATGAAGAAACTAAATTATTAAGCCTCACCCATTGCTTCCCTCATGAGTTCAATCTACTCACATTTTAATATTCTTCATAGTATAATATGACATTTTCCCATCCTCCTCTTCCCTGAGCCATCAATCTCACTGACATTGTGTCCATTTTTTACTTTACTATCAGTAACTTACTAATTCTTAGTTGTTATGGTCTTGGACTGCGCTACTAAAGCAGTCATCTAGATAAAGGCTCTTTGGGAAGACTCCAGCATTTTTTTTTCTGAGAAAACCTTTCATGTAAATCTTATTACAACTTATTCTTAAAAGATAAATTAGTTCTTTCATGGCATATTTTCATCATATTTTGTTTGGAGAATCAGTTTTCATAAGCCCTTTGGATTGTGGGCTCTAACCCTTACAAAAGCATAGGAATAGCCCTTTTATGTGACAAAACAGTATTCCAAAGAAAGTAAATTTTAATAACATCAAGTAAGTTTCAAAAGAGAAAATGCCACCATCTTGGAACTGGCTTTTCACAAGATCATCGGAAAGGGCTGTGGCCTTAAAGATCCTCTAGCAAAAGTGGAGAATCTGTGGCCTCAAGGCCACATGGGGCCTTCTAGGTCCTCAGGTGGGGCCTTTTGACTGAGTCCAAGTTTTACAGAACATATCCTTTTATTAAGGGGATCTGTTCTGTGAAGTTTGTATTCAGTCAAAGGGCTGTACTTCAGGACCTAGAGGGTCCCATGTGGCATCAAGGCCACAGGTTCCTCATCCCTGTATCTAGGCCAACCTGTTGTGGATAATTAAGTGAAATGAAATAAATTAGTATGACAGAGCAAGTGTATACATTTCTTGAAGAAATTTTATTTCATTGTAGATGATCACTATACTAAGCAAAATTAGTACTACTACACATGATTTTTACAGAAAATTAGAATGCAAAAAATCACTTCTTGGTAACAGAGTCTACATTAATGGTTTTCAAGCCTCAGTAACACAAGGCTTTTTCCTAGACTTCTGATATAACACATTTTTAAAAGTCTTGCCAAAAAATCACACACAGGAGAAATTGATTAGCCCACTTTCAAATTCTGGCTCTTCAAAAACCTTTCTGAAAGACTTTGAAGGCTTGTAAAAAGCTAGAGTTCAATTAGAATGAACCCATGCACTAACTCCAGAGAAGAGAGACTCCCATCCATCTAATCCAACAAACATATTATTAAGCATCTCCTATGTTCAATGAACAATGTCATGGGCTAAGGATATAAAAATGAAGTTTGAGAACAATCCCTTCCCTCATGTACAATCTCAGCAAGTTATGACATACAGAAATAACTATGAGACAAGGCATGGTTGTGATAAGTGTAAAGAAGAATACAGTGCCAGGAAAAAGTTGAGGAGAGGAGGGTCATCTCTAGCTTTGGGTTTTTGAAAGGACTTGCCTTTTTAAAAGGCAAGCGGAGAAAAGGGGAGGAAGGAAGATTACCTTAAGTCCTCTCTAGCTCATAACTAAGGAGTGATATGGATGGAGAGCATGTCTGTGTAGCATTTTTGCCATAAATGTTCATGAAACAGTATCTAATGTGTTAGGGAAGGCAGAAATTTAAGTATTGCCTTTAATAATATATTTTAAAAGGCCCAAGACTCCTTTCTCTCCCTTCATTTGCATCTTTAAAATACCAACCTTGCTACCTTGCTCACCTGAAACCATTAGCTGTCTTCCCTGTCATTCACTTGCTGAACCAGAGGAAGTAGTGACTGAGAGAGGAAGGTGCTAAGATTGTTTTGCTTAGAATATTTCATCTGATGGGGCTTGGACATATGATGTGGAACAGTCTATGAGTGGGAGAAAGAGATGAGAACCTTCAGGAACAGAAACAGAACCTCTAAGAGCAATGGTAAACAGGCCAAGCAATCAAGAGTAATAGTCAAAGACTATTTTGTTGTACTTCAACCATACCCTGCTGACCTATTGAAAATGACCATATATCAGATTGATAGCTGAAACGGTTGTCAGGAGCTAACTAGTCTAATCCCATTGATCATATATCTGATGAAATGGGAGCTGAGTGACTGGCCCAAAGTCACACAAGTCAACGGGAAGACATGGACCCAGGCCTACAGACTCCACAGCCAGTGCTACCTCCACTATTACTTCCACTTCATTGATTCAGCTACAGTCCTGAACATCTGAATTCAACCACATAGATTAAGCACCTACAATTAGGTCACTGTCCGAGGTGCTAGGAGAAATAAAGGCAAAAACTCAAGGAGCTCATCTACTGGATGAGCTTCCTTCCCTGCCTCCTTTAGTAGAAAAAACTATTATTTCCAAATGTTTTAGCTGCAGTGACAAAAATAAGAGGTGCTGGATATCAGTATTCTCCCCCCACCTGATGCAAAGAAATTGTCATTTTAAAAAAATCCTTGTCTGAAGCCCTCAACATATTGGGGCAACCCTTGGTTCTCAAAAATTATGCCAAGAAAGCACAAGATCTGGCAAACTGAAGAGACTTAAGAATTATGAACTATCATCTAAGAGCCCACCTAGTTAAATTTTCAGAATGTCATTAATTCTAAGGCTGGTCACCTGATTTTTTTGCCCACAGTAATTCAAGAACCTACCAATGGGGCAAGGAAAGGCTGTGATACACATCAGTGGACTCAATATCCATAATAATGAAATCATATTTTTGATGTATGATAGAAAAATATATTCAGTATATATACTCTCTCCTAAGACACTATACTCATTAGTTTTACATGCCTAAGGAGGATTTTACTAGTAGAATGTAGGGTTTGGGATCACAACAGGAAATGGATTAGTAAAACAAAGCTACAAAGCAAAAAGTCATTGTCATAGACAAGTTAGTATACAACACTGAGTGATCGTTCGTATGAAAATCTATTGGCTTAAAATGCAGCTGCCTGCATCAACTTTCAATGTAGAAAATTTTAAATACATATGGTCTTTTTGGGGCAACATATGTTGAAGAAAGACTGTAACAAAGAAAAATTAGGTTTTCTATAGCAATATATACTGTATGTATCTCGAGAATTTGACAAGAATACAACTGAAAATGTAGCCTCATTTTACTAAAGACTGCATCATCATCCAAATTCTATGAATAGTGAATTCTGGAAGCAGCTGGAAACAAAGCAATTTTTTCATTAGGTATTCATGTTTCCTTTTGACTACTGAATGTTCAAAATTCTATGTACTAAATGCAAAGCCAACTTAAAGAATCATTCACTCACTATTCAGTAAGAAAAGAACATATAGCATTTAATTGATGATATTCAATGGGTAGTTTCAATATATAAATACATATGGAAAAACCTTGCCATCATTATTAAAAGTTCTTAGACAACTAAAATACACCATCTGGAATAGACTTAAATACTTATAAGCATAGAAATATACATGAAAAAACCTCACCATCACCTTTAAAAATCCTTAGTTACCTGATAAGCACAATGCCTGAAATAGATAAGTCATTTAGAATATTTCTTCTCATATTTTGTACGGCTTTTCTCTCCTCATTTCACTAAGTACAAGCTTGCAGAATATAGTATTCAGATCAAGATCATGTACCAACTGTTTCAATGTAAACAATAAACATAAATCCTACAGTTTCTCTCTTTACAAAGTGATTCACCAGTAACTTCACTTAATGAGTTCACTCAGTACACTTACAATTTTTGAAACTTTTTTTTTGATAAAGCAAGGTATACTTATATAGTTATTCTCTCTCAATTTTTATTTAAGTAGAGCCTGGCAAGTCTGTAAATCTTTTTCGAGCATCAATACAATGTAATTTTGTTTAACTTGTGGTGAATAAATAAATTGCCTCTGGGAAGGCTTCGAAGACAAGAGCCTGAGCTTTTATGATTATCATAGGGAATATGACACACTGAATGGCCTGCCAACAAGTCCCTAGAAGTATCAGGTTCCAGTTTTTCATCAATAAATCAGGCCTATGTCACCTACCTACCTCATTGAGATGTAGAGATGAAGCTTTAGAGGTCTCTACATGGCTCTAAACAACATGGGGGAAAAATGACACCTGAGTATTAGTTATGTATCAGTTCTTACTAGTAGTAATTATAATAACTGGCAAAAGTTATAATAAAGCACTATCACATATAAATGCCATTGATCCTTACAATTATGTAGATGTATAGCTGCCTTAACTCAATCCCAATCCAACCACTGTCACATTCATCCTCAAAACTCATTTTCATCATTTCTCTGCCTACAAAATAAAGTTCAAACTTCTTAGCCTGACATTCAAGGCCCTCTATCTCTGGCCCTAACCTTTCGCAAACTTACTGCTTACTACTCAAACCCTCTGCTTCAGAACAAGTACTCTCCTTTCTCTGAACATAGCTCATGTCTTTCCAGCTTCTTGTCATTGCTACTGCCATGTCCGCAAAAGAAATGTCCTTCCTCCCCATTGTTTCTACAAACCTTTCCAATCCTCCAATGGCCAGCTAGAAATCTCATCTCTTCAGTGAAACCTTCCCTAACTACCTGCAGGTGGAAGTTATTTTTTCCTTGCTGGTAATCCCTGTAGGAATTATTGCTCATACTAATCATTTGGAATTTACTTTTTGCCTGTTTGTAACTGTTCAATTGTCATCTCCCTAGCCATACTGTAACCTTTTTAAAGATATTTCCTTGTATTGCCTTTTGCAGGAGACACTAAACAACTATCTGATTCCCAATTAATAAATGGAAAATCTGCACTGCACAGAAGAGTACTAGAATTCAAGTATACTAAAACTCCTTGCCCAATGCTCTAGACAATGAGTCTGAAACTAAAATGTTTTCATTCTATGAGATGTGTTGTTGTGTTAACCTGACTTGAACACCAGTTTGAATCAACACAATTCACTGGGTCAGCTTATATCCAGAACTTAGTCAAAAGTTATCTACCTACTTTATCTAACCCTATCTACTTTAATTCCTCCACTTAGTTTATACTGGCATAGCATTTCTTTTTTTAATCTGTTGTGCAGCTATTTGTTGTGATTACTTCAACTAAAGATGCTTTTATTTATAAAGAACAATTTAAGGACCATGTTGGTAATAATTTGCAATCTTTTTTTTTTGGCAACTCAAAAACGAATTTTTTAATCTTGGTAAGCATACCCTTTTCAGTCTTTTTTACTGAACTGATATAATATACTTTAAATCCAACTTAAGGTCAGACCTCAATATACCAAAAATTACTATGATTTTCTTAACTTTTTTTGACTAACTCCAAATCCTCTCCTCCAGTGGAAGTCTTTATTTTATCTGTGTAAAATCATTCCTCAAAATATAGATTTCATGAAGAAAACAAAGTAAATTAAGATTACTTTTGGCCTGAAGGACATCAACATATGCATGTCATTGATATAGATTCCATTACCTGACCAACTGCAGGGCTACTGGAGAAGCATGCAAAACAAAAATATCAATAACCCACAATCTATAAGACGTGCTTTCAGGTCATTTTCCCAGGAATGGCAGATTGTATCAAGCTATCCACAAGCTTACCCACTTTCCCTTATAGAGGTATTTACATTTGTGAAGTTATATCAGATTTTAATTAAGGATCTTTGTACTTTGCTGTTATGGGAATTTATTTTGTTTTGTTTATGAAACTAATGATCATGTCAAGATAGGAAAACAAAAAGCTTAATAAGACCAACACCTTTCATTTGACTTTGTTTCCTGGCACCAGTTTTAACTATCCCTCCCCAATCATGGTTTCTTCAGTTTCCTTTACATTTTGCCCCAAATAAATTCTCAAAGGAACCCAAATAAAGGATTGTTAAGCTAAATTGATTTCATTTCGCATATTTAACAAAAAAGGCACAGGATTGCTAAACAATTCAAATTATCTTTTGTCTTGTAAGCAAAAGCCCTTCTACACAGCTGCTAGTTGCCTTTATTTAAACATACTGACAACTTGTCAACAATACAATCTACCTTTCTCTCCCAATACTGGCCCCTCTGGATAAATATGAGAACTCAATATATTCTTTAAAGTTCTGAATACCTATATTCTGATGTATATCTTTTCAATAGTATTTGAAACCAATTGTATTTTTTCAAGGACTGCATGCTTTAAACACATAGAATATGGGAGACTGTTACTTTGTGGCAGCACTGTCATAGATCTTCAACATTCTACACCTATTAAAAATTCTACACCACGAAAACTCCAATTCAAAGGCTTTGGTATATGTAAATATAATCTATTGTGATAGCATACTTCTCTATTTATGTTTAATTATTTTCTGCATTATTCAAAGTCAAAAGAAAAGTTCCCAATCTACATAACTGCAAATGTGATTACTATCAAAGGGCAATGAGACCTAGGAAAATGCATTCACAAAAAAATCATCACAATTTCTTTTTCTGGAAAAGTTTTATTTTATTTTTGTAAAATTAGTCCTCTTAAGGATCTTTAGCTTATTCTTTCAAATCGATCCGAATATTCTGATGAGTAGTGAAGTAGAAAGTATTGTTTTATGAAATTAGTTGTAAAAACACAAAAGGCATACTATCCCTTGAAGGTAGAAAGACTTCAGATATAAAATAAAAAATGTAAAAGGTAAAATATATGCAACTGAATATTCATGGAAAAATAGATGATTAATCCAAATATTCTGTAAAAAAATCTTAAATTCATCTTCCCATGTGGAAAGTTATATGCATACAAATTATGTTGTGTAATGAGTGCCTTCCTTTAGTGTTTGGTCATTTTTTGAAAAATATTAGCTTTATTTTAGAAGACAGTTAAACTTCCAACTTCTATTGTTTCAAAGAGCCTTTAAAATGTAAAAAAAAAAAAAAAAATTCCTGTTAACCAAAATAAGAGAAAACAACCTCTTATCAAATCATTCTAAAGAAGTACCCTATAATTTATGCCCTAATAATTCCCCTTACATTAAATCCAAACAGATATGTAAAAGGAAAGCAGTAAGAAAGGTCGTGTGTGTGTGTGTGTGAGAGAGAGAGAGAGAAAGAGAAAGAAAGAAAGAGAGAGAGAGAGAGAGAGAGAGAGAGAGAGAAAGAGAAAACACTCTTTAAAATTTTAAGAGTCAAGGTATGATCTCAAAGTATTGTCTTATATGTCCTCCCTTCCCATATTTTCCTGTCATACAGCCTAGACTGGATGGGGGTTATTTCCACTTGAACAAACCTAGGAGTTCTACATTTTGTTTTCCAATCTTTTAACTAACACAGAATATAGTAATATAGATACCAACTGCTGTCCATTAACACTGTGACATACTCCAAGCCCTGGCTTTCAATAAATATGAAAATATGAAAGTGCTCCAGTCCCAATCAAAGTTTAGATTTATCATTTTTTTTTGCCTGAATTAGTTAGGACAAAGATTATCTGATGACTACTTTGCTTGCCTCTGTGTCATAAAAAAATTAAAACAAATCCAGCAATTCTTTTAAAATTTGAGATTCATAACTATGCCTATGTAAAAACTAAATGTTGCAAAATTTCAAAAACAACATATCAGTCCTAACCATTTAATCTTTCAGTCAAAACTCCTATTGCCCACAAACTCCCCAGTAACTCTCAAATTTGTAGTTTCCATGACTACCGTATCAAATGATACTTATTGTACCATACAGGTTAGAAGTTCTAAAAAATAAAGACAAGAAATTTTAAGTCCACACTGGTTACTGTTAGTTATTCTCATTCTTCACATTTTGGGCCCACACACTGGAAGTATTGGGCATTTCAGCAGACGGGGCTTCGGGATGGTTTGTTTTATTCATTCCTGGAGAAGACAGGTGAGGTGTTGCGGTACACAGAGGAGTCCGCTTCAGTTTGATCACTCGAGTAGGGGTAGGCTTCTTTTCTGACAGGGAAGCCTTCACTGGAGATGTATGGGTTTCACCATTTTCTGCACTTCCAGTTCCATAGGGTGTTTGTGAATTCACAGCCACTGAAGAAATGCCAGGGTCAGGTATGGTTTTTGACCCTGCATGGCATCGAACTAAATGACTGCCACTACTGGGCCGCTTAATTGTCATCTGGGAAGAGGTTTTTGAAGTATTAGATGTAATCACCTTTACTGAAGAAGAATTCTTGACTCTGATATGTGTGCTTGTTGAAGGACCCAAAAATCTAATGGGTTTAGGTCCTGCTTTACAGTTCACACCATCCTCTTCTTCTTCATTCAAGGCTATCAAGCGCCTGTAAATATAAAGGACTGTCATTTTCAAGATTTTACACAACCCACAGTAATGAATTAATGTCTCCAAAGTTAATCTTCAGGCTACACAAAAAGGTTTCTTTCAAGCCCAAAGATTTTTTAAAAATTGGTAAAGCTAATCTCCTGTATAAAACCACACACTAAATAAAGTTAACAATCTCATAAATAACTGTCATTACTTTTATAAGAAATGTTGTTTTACTTACTAGCTGTGTGACCCTGGGAAAGTCACTTAACCCCAACTGCTTCACCAAAAAGCCAAAAAAAAAAAAAAAGAAATGTTGTTTTAAATGACAAATTTCAAACAATATAAACAACTGAATTATGAAACTGGCATCGGGGAACAAAGAGGCTACTCAGTCTGCTGTTCAATTGAAAGAACTACAAAATATATCACTACATACCTGAAACAGGATTTGATCCTCAATTGAACCAAACCCATGGTATGGTGTGATATATAACAGAATCACACATTATGGCAAGTCAGAGATGGAACGGGCCTTAAAAAACATTTGAAGATCACTGAAGAAGCAATACAGTATGAAGTAGAGAACATTAGACTCAGGTCAAGAAAAACTTGAGTTCAATTTCCACTTGCTGATAGAGACAAGCTCTATAACCACAGACAAATCATTTCACATCTCACAGCCTCAGTTTCCACATGTGTAAAATGGAGATAACATGCAGACTACTTTCTGACTTCAGGACTGTTGTGAGGAAAGAGTTTCATAAATTGTGGAGTGCTGTACAAAGAGCAGCAATTATCAGTTAGTCTTAATTTACAGATGAGGAAACCAAGATTCAGAGAGGCCATATGACTCATCCTTGACCAGTTCAGTGGCTGAGCTAGAACTCAAGTACTGCTCAGAATCTTTCTTTTGTACTCTTTCCACTACACAATGATATTCAGGGAAATATCAGACAAGTTTGGGAAAGATAATAAACTAAGAATAAGGATTATCATAAAACCAAAAATGGAACAAGAAAAGCAAGATGAAAAAGGTAGAAAACAGCTACCTAGTGCTGTATGCCTAGTCTTCCCACTGTTTCCATCACTTTCTTTTGTATTTAGTTTCTCTTCCTCTTCTTTTAGAAATATTTTTTACTCTATTAATTTCTTCCTATACATGAAGTAATTGCTTATCAAATATTGGATTTGATAAGATTCCTCTAAATCTTTCAACTAAATTTACTAAACTATAAACTTTTTAAGAGCAGGTATTATGTTTTATCTTAATTCTCCATCTACTCCAAGCCTAGAATAGCGATCTACATAAAAGAGACATATAATTTTTGCTATATTGTATTTATTATATTTAAACAAAATTAGCTTCTAAAACACAAGAAGATAAAGAGTAAACTGTTATCTGGAAATGTCAGGAATGAATCTAGTTAATTAAATATTCTGGTTAATAAAATTACCATATATATCACATATGGATTGGCAATACTCAAAAAAAATCAAAAAATATTAAAATATAATTAACACTAAGAACTATGATAAATATAACATAAAAATATTCTGATGATTCAGGAGGAATTTCAGAATTTTCTACAAATTCAGATTCATCATTATGAATTGGTCAGAGGTTAATAGAATCTCAGTGAATGGAACACTTGGATATAGCGTAATATACATTCACCCTAAAATTTAGCCCTATTGACTTTTTACTTATCTATATTGCAGATTTCATTATTTTGCCCCTACTAGGTAGGGAACCGGTTACCTTGAGTGCAACCCTTTGACTCAATCCAAACTTCGTAGAACAAATTCCCTTAATAAAAGCACTTCTTCTGTAAAACTATGATCAAAAGGCTGCACCCAAGAACCTAGAAGGCCACATGTGGCCTTGAGGCCGCAGGTTCCCCACCCCTATGCCTAGACCTTCTAATAATTTACTAATTTTAGAAAGCATGTTCAAAAAAACAGTTAAAAAAAAAAATAAGAGGTTCTAAGAAATAGGAGATAACATATATAGAAAAAAGAGCTAACATAGGTCTGAAATAAATCCACTCTGAACATCTGTGAAAGACAGAGAAAGTAGATATTAGAAGACAGACAAAACCTTAAAGGACACTAAAGGAAATAGAAATCTCACTACACTAAGTGATCAAGAAATCAGGAAATGTGAAGGAGAACAGCATTCACAGAACCAGATGACATCTAGCCCAGAACCGGAGGAAAAACACATAAAAATATGTTTTAAATACAGTTGAATTCAGAGCTGTATGAGAGTGGATCTAATGCTAATTTTTAAATGGATAATTTATTCACTCATAAAATCCTACTAAATAAAAAATTTTGAACTATTTGATGATAGAAGCAAAGAATATTTCCGGATATATCATTAAGAATTTCCAACATTCAAGATGCAAAAATTATTCTACATGTATATAATCCAAGAGATATGACCAGGTTTTTCATGTTGTACAAAAACAAAAAATCACTCATCTAAACTTCTATTATATCAGAATCTTTAATAAAAAAAAAAACCAACATATTCTTCTATCAAAAACATATTGTAGACATAGTTTAAATAAATCAAATTCAATTTCCATAAAGCTGTATAACCTCTTTCGCAGTAGTTTTATATCTATTTCTAAACCTATGATTCAACTGGTGTGAGGAACTTCCACCACCAATAAAGACAGGTAACTAGAATCATGATAGTTTGTTATGTACCCAGAGACTAGAAGACCTGAGTTTAAATCCTACCTCATATGCTTATTAGCTGTGTGACCCTGGGAAAGTCATTTAATCTCTCTCTGCCTCAGTTTCCTCATCTATAAAATGGGGATAATAATAGCACCTACCTCCCTGGGTTGTTGTGAGGATCAAATGAGATAACATATGCAAAACATTTTGAAAACCTGGAAGTACTACATAAATGGTAGCTATCACATGATATGAAACAGGAATCCTAGAGAGCTGCCTGGGACACTGAGAGTTGAAGTGACCTGGCCAGGGACACACAACCAGTGTTTTGTCACAAGCAGGACTTGAACCCCATCTTACTGGTGGCAAAGTAGCCTTCTATCCACTAAGGTAACACTGATTCTCATCTATTTCAATGATAAATGGAATACATAGGTATACTGTTTAAATACTTTCTTTGATTACAGAGTATATACTTATAAATAAATGTATTTATTAAAATAAGTGCCAGTATATGCCACCCCAATAATGACGTTAAAATTTTAGGATAGACTAAAACAATTCCAAAACACTCATGATGGAAAATGCTGTCCACATCCAGAGAAAGAACTATAGAGTCTAACTGCAGATCAAAGCATCCTATTTTCTCTTTTCTGTTTGTTTTTCATGCTTTTCCCCTTTTGTTATGTTTCTTCTTTCACAACATGACTAATGTGGAAATATGTTTAACATGATTGCATATATATAACCTATATCAGATTGCTTGCCATCTTGGGGAGGGGGATGAGAGAAAGGGACAAAAATTTGGAACTCAAAATCTTACAAAAAAAAGGAATGTTGAAAACTATCTTTACATGTAATTGAAAAAAATAAAATACTATTCACAAAAAAAAATTTAGGATAGAAATCTTATTACTGAGACAGGATAGAGTAGAGGGGATATAGGACTTAGAGTATGAAGATCTAGGTGAATCCCCAGCTCTGTCTCTTAATAGCTTTGTGACATTGGGCAAATTCCTAATTTTCCTGAGCTCCTCATATATAACCTGGGAGTGATTGTATTTGTAATATACATTTCACAAGACTGTTGTTACACATACCAAAAGATACAGTATACATAAAGCGGTGCACTACAAAACACTCCATAAAAATAAGATGCAATTATAGTTATGTGATTTTTTAAACCAACTGAATTAACGTATCTTTAATAACAATAGCTACCATTTATTACAGAACTTTAAGGGTTACAAAGTGTTTCACATATATTATTTCATTTGATGTTTGAATCTTTCTTTAAATCTGATCTTTAAATCTCTCTCCTGATTTCCAATACTCTCTTTTTCCTTTTCCTGACCCTTAGTGGAGGTGGACCAAATTTTGTTCAGTTAAAATAAATCTAAATGAATGTGACACAACATAGGTAATTTAGTAATAAATACAAAAAAGTCTAAAAGATAATAAGAGAAAACACAAATTATATTTCAGTCATTTCAGAACTTATCTGAAGAGAAGCAAGGATTATTTTCTCTTTTTAAAAAAAACAATAAAAATGTAGATCCTTGACCAAGATGGCAAAGAATAATCAATAAAGGAAATAACCTTTTTCTAATTGGAGCCATGTGACGAAAATTTCCCTGTAAAGGTCGCTCTTCAAGAGTCCAGCATTCTATCAATTCCTGTGGAACACGCCAGTAGCTAACACCTACAGTACAAAAGCAAACATTAGAATGAGATCCCATATTGAAATACTGAGCATCAAGAAGCCATATAAGATCAAGCGGAATCGTTAATTTCGCATATTCTACTACAACAGAAGCACAAATATATAAATGTAAATTGCACAACAGATTTACAACCAAATCATTAGGGAGAGGGAGGCTGGCACAACAGAAAGAACACTGCATTAGGATTATGAACATTTGGGTTCAAATTCCAGCTCTGACACTGTGCCACCTTGAGCAGATCACTTGCCCTTCTCTAGGCCTCAGTCTACTCTACAAAATGAGGAAGTTGAGCTAGAGGGTCTTTAAGGTCCTTTCCATCAAAAAGACTGCCATAAGGTACTATTATCAGTCTCTATCTAGAAGGGAAATACCATAAATGTTATTTTATAGTAATCACTGAAGAAAGGGGACAGGAATTCAGCATAAAACATGTAGGCTCTATGAAAATATCTGAATATTTCCTAAGAGTAAGGAATATGAGACATAGCATGGCAGAGAAGATAGAGAGCTGGCCTCAGAATCTGATCCATACTGGCTGTAGGACACTAGGCAAACTCTCTAAGACCATAAATTACACAGAAAGTGCGAACCTCCATAATAGAGAAAATTTCATCATCCAGAAGTTCCATAAAACAATGAAAATGCAGTTCTAGTTTCTTTCTCCAAGGAATATCAAATAAAATTAGCTCTTCAAAAAGTATACATAAAACACTCCTTTTGTTCTACCATCCACATACCAAAGCACAGAAGTGGGCAGGAAGAACCACTAACACATTTGTTTCATTTTCTATGGGCATACATGTAAGAGTTAAGATTCAATTATATTATATATTGTAAAGATAGTAAGTTCCTTTTGTTCACTAATGATTCCCCTTGATCAAAAAACTAGGCCAGGATCCTTTTTAGAATTCTAAATCCTAAGTGGTCAAACAGGATGAAAAAACAGATCTCAAAAGAACTGCAAACCAGGAACAATCATATGAAAGATTATTCCAAATCATCAATAATAAGAGGAAGTGCAAATCAAAATAATTCTGAAGTTCTACTTCACACACAGTCAATTGCTAAAGAGAATATAATATAGGAAGAGTCAATGTTGGAGCAGCTACAAAAAGATAAGCATACTAATACACTGTTGGAGCTATGAATTGATCCAATCATTCTAAAAAGCAATTCGAATTTCTGCTTTAAAAAAGGACTAAAATGTCAGTACCCTTTGACCCAGAGATCCCATTGGTAGGCAAAAACCCCAAAGGAGTCAAAAACTGAAAGAAAAGTCCAATAAACATTTAAATATTCATAGCAGCACTTGAGTATCAAAGAAGTGGAAATAAAGAGATTCCCATAAATTAGGGAATGGTTAAAAAAAAACAAGAATGTAATGTAATATTTACTGTACCATAAAAAATGATAAATATAAAGAAATCAGAGAAACATGGGAAGATATATATGAATTGATGTATAGTAAAGTAAGCAGAACCAGAAAAACTACATACAACAACGAAGGGAACAAAAACAACAAAAAAAGGAAACTAAACACTGTGCAATTATAATGACCACACTAAGCCCAGAAGAAATGAGGAAATGCTCCTCCTGCCCTTCTTTGCAGAGCTGAGGAACTAAGGATATGGAATACTATATATAATAACACTTGGTTGATGTGTTGGTCTGTTTTGCTCAACTCAATTTCTCCCCTCTTCATTATTCTTTGGTACAATAGATACTTTGCTAGGTAGGGGAGAGGGAAGGACACATTTGGAAATAAAAGTGAATTCAAAAACAAAATGTATCAATTAAAATTAATTTTTGATGAATCCTCCTAAAAAACAATCTAATTTCAAAAATATGTTTTACAAATTGGAATGTGTCATTAAAATATTAACTGGCTTTGGATCACATTCTCTAAAACCAAAACAAATTGCTGAATTGAACTGAATGATAAGGTAATAAAAATAGGCTAATAATGACAACAAGCAACTCATGACACATGGCCTTATAACTAAACCACCTTAGTATATTATCCTGAACAATCTGACAATTGCTTGCTGGACACATTCTGAGAACTTCCCTAACAAAAGCACCATACTATTAAAACACACTTTGTGGTTCTAAGAAAAGTTTAACTGCTACTATGGAAAAAAATCACTGACATCATACCTTCACCTTCCCAAGTATCAAATGCATCCATCATCTTCTTCAATTCAGCTACTGAATAATAGCTCCAAATGTACTGAACATTATTTCCAGCCTCTCTAGAAATATTTTTAAGAGAAATAAAAATAGTAACAAAGTAAGAAAACAAAAAGAATAAGAAAAACAGTACATTTAATACACTGTATTAATATCAGCTTACATTTTACATATGTATCTACCTTAGTGGTTCCCTACAAAGGGACTGAGGAATTCTGGAAGAAGCTCCCAAATCAGTATAAATACCAAAGCATTATTATCACTAAGGTCATTATTTAGTGCTAACAAAATGTGAATTATAAACAATGAGTTCCTGAGTAAAGACATGAATGATCAGTAACCCTTCTGTGAATATTAATAATGCTATAGTCCCATATCTGACATCAAAAGAAAAAAAAACACTAAAAACTGTCATGTCATAATTCTTTAAAACATGTCTTCATGGAAGATGCAAAAGCAAGATGGGAGAGTAGCAAGAAGTAGTATAATAAGCTCCATTATCTCCCCTTGCCCCCAAGAAAAAAATCTCCTTCAAATAGACCTAGAAAATGCACCTGACTGAATCCTGATAGGGAGATCCAAGACAGTCACATTTAGTCATGTTACAGACCAGGTTGGCATAGAGACACAGAGAGTTCTGCAGATACTGAGGATGGGATGGCCAGAAGCCATACAGAACATTCCAGCACCCAGACAAAGACCACCAGGGCAAGAAGAGGTCCCAGACTTGTATCGGGACACTGAGATCAGGACAGGTGTGACCGGGCAACTTTGTTGCTCACTACCCAGTTCCTGGTCCCAGATCTAGGGCAGACTGACAACGGTACCTACCTTCCACTCCTCCCCAACTCCCAACAATCTTAAACCCTGAGCTGTATACTAAAAGAGAAGTAAGTTCAGAATCAAGTAGCAGCAATGGTGCTCAGATCCCAAAAGCCAAGCAGGGGCTGAATTCCAGCCTTCAGCCTAGTCTGAAACCTGCAGAGGAATAACCAAGGCAGGAATCCCAGACTGAGAGGAGCCTGCAGTTCTATCACTCTGAACCAATAGAGCTTTCCTTCTGGCTGACACCAGTCTTCTGTTGCTCAGACCCAAACCCAGGTCAAGAATGTGCAAAGCTCAGACCAGGCGGAGTAACAATTAGACTATGCCCTGGAACAGACCTTTTTTGGGAACATTGAAAGCTTGCAGGCTCCCAGCCTGTCCCTGAGATCCTGAAACAATGTAACACTAAATGTTCCAAGAAAGCAGCAAGAGAACCAGCTCACTTCTGTCCAGAAGTGCCACAAAGCTCCACTGTACACATCAAGTCCAAAGTCAGGAAGTAGTCTGGAATAATGAGCAAACAAAAAAAATCCCACTATAAAAAGTTATTATGGTAATAAGAACACTGAAGATGCAAACCCAGAAGAAAAGAATGACTCCAAAACATCTACAAAGCCTTATAAGAAAAAAAAAAAAACCAGCTTGGGCACAAATTCAACTACAATTCCCAGAAGAGATGAAGCAAGAGTTTTTTGGGTTTTTTTAAAGAGTTAAAGTACTTTTATAAATTAAATGTTATTACTGGGGGAAAAACTGGAAAAGAAAGAGAGCTATAGAAGAAAGGTTTAGAAAAAGAATTAATAGCTTGGCCCAAGAAGTACAAAACCTTACTCAAGCAATAAACTCCCTGAAAATCAGAAAGGAACAAACAGAAGTCAGCTCTAGGAGGCAACAAGAAACATTAAAACAAAGTCAAAACACTTAAAAAAAAATAGAAGAAAACATAGGATATCTCATAGTAAAAACAAATGACCAGGAAAACAGACTGAGGAAACAAACTACCTGAATGCCATGATCAAAACAAAAACCTAGATATCTTATTTCAAGAAATTTTAAAAAGAAAACTGCTCAGATCTCTTAGAACCAAAGGACAAAGTAAAAGTAAAAGGAATCCACCAGTGACCTCCTGAAATAAATTCCCCAAAATGAAAATTAGGAATATTAGACAAAATCAAGAGGTTCTAAGTCAAAGAAAAAAAAACAAAAAAACAAAAAAACCAAAAAAAAAAAAAAAACAAAACAAAACACTGAAAGCAGCCAGAAAGAAAGATGTCAAGTAGCCACAATCAGGATCATAATCTAGCAGTTTATAGAAGGCTATAAAAAAGTAGAGCTCTTGGCATACCATATTCCAGAAGGCAAAGGATACACAGGCATACAGCCAAGAACTACTTACCCATCAAATCTCAATATAATTCTACAATGGAAAAAAAAATGGACTTTTAAATGAAATAGAGGATTTCTAAGAATTCCTGATGAAAAGAAAGAAACCTTATAGAAACTCTGAAGCTCAAACACAGGAGTTGAGAAACATAGAAAGGTAAAAGTGAATAAATATCATAAGAGATTAAACAAGAATAAACTTCTTATATTTGAATATGGGGAGATGATACATATGTTCCCTGTAAGCCCTATCATCACCAGAGGTCACAGAGGGAGTCTAATTAGACATAAGTGGTTGAGAGCGGTTCTATTATGTGCTAAAGATCTTAAAAAAAATATAGAAAGGGAGGGGGGAAAGAATACACTTGGCAGGGAGCCAGTGGAAGAAATTAGGTTGCGGAAAATTCTCTCACATAACCGGCGTATGCAAGCAGACATCAATTCAAACAAGGATGAAGGAGTAGAAGGGAAGAGGCTGACACCTGAACCTCACTCACATCTGAACTAGTCAAAGGAGAGATGGAAAACACACACAGCTAGATACAGAAACACATTTCACTCAACAGAGAAATAAGAGGGAAAGGGGAGAAGGCACAAGGAGAGAGTAGAGTGACTGAAGACTAAGAAACTGATTAGTCCTAAGCAAAACAAATAACAAAAATGTACAAAAATTTTTATAGCTCTTTTTGAGCTAGAAAAGAATGGGAATCTGAGGGGGTGCCCATAAACTGGGAAATAATTATAATATATAAATGTAATAGAATATTATTATGCTTTAAGAAATGATGAAGGCAGGGGCAGCTAGGTGGCACAGTGGATAAAGCATCAGCCCTGAAGTCAGGAGGACCTGAGTTCAAATCTGGTCTCAGACACATAACACTTACTAGCTGTGTGATCCTGAGCAAGTCACTTAACCCCATTGCATAGCCAAAAAAAAAAAAAAAAAGAAATGATGAAGGAGATGGTTTCTGAGAAACCTATGAAGACTTACATGTACTAGCGAACAGAACCAGGAGAAAAATTTAAAGATGACAATATGGTAAAGACAAACAACTTCCAAAGAATTAGGAACTGAAAAATTAATGACCAACCACAATTCCAGAAGAGTAATGATGGAACATGCTACAAGGTAAAAAACTCAGAGTGAAGAAAGAGAGGGGGTGTGTGTGTGTGTGTGTGTGTGTGTGTGTGTGTGTGTGTGTGGGCATGGTCAAATGAAAATTTGTTTTGTATGACTATATATATCGATAACAGGGGCTCTGTTTTTCTTTCATTCTCAACGTAGGAAAAAGAAGGGGTGGCAGAGAACACAGACTTTTACTGATTAAAAAAATATGTAATATAATTTTTAAAAAATCAAAATAACACTAGACTTCACAGCTAAGTGTGGTAACCCAGGTCAGTAATCACTGCTACTGTAGAGGCTAAAGCTGGTGGATCACCAGAGCATGAAAGTTCTAAGCTGCAGTGGGCTTAGCCAATCAGGTGTAGACACACAGCGTAGCACCAAATAATGTGATTCCCTGAGAGAGAATGGGGTACCAGATTGCCTAAGGAGTGACGAAGTGGCCCATAGCAGAAATGGACTAAGTGAGAGCTCCTGTGCTGATCAGAAGCAGGATCAAGTCCCTGGGTGGCTGCTGCATTTCCAATGAGAAACATACAGGGAGAAAAAAGATGGAGGGGACAGGGGAAGGAGGAGAGGAAGACAGGAAGGAAGGGAGGAAAGTACAGAGGGAAGTCTTCATCTAAAAGGATCTGGCTCACTTCTAGTTACTTATTCATTCAAAAGCCCCAAAAATATTTGATAAAACTGTGAAGTACCTTATTCCTTTCCCCGTAAAATACATTTGTAAAATGGATTTTTTGCACTTATAATCACAGAAATACAAATACTCCAACAAGGTGGATGTGGTACCAGATTTAAGGTTGAAATTTTTATCAATCCAACCAGACTTCTAATTTTCAAAAGTAGTTGTACCAGAAATTTCATTAAATTTCTCAGTATAATATGTAAAAATGCTTTCTACAGACTGAATAATGTCTCACATGTATATGTATTACTATTTTTCAGATGGGTTAAGATGTTGTTATATAATGAGACAGAAATTCATTTTAAAGTATTACTGAATTCATGGTACTTTTTGGTCACCATGTATTTTTTCAAGAGATGCTACCAAGAGTACAGCTATCAACATTTGGGAGTATATGAAAAATTTTTAATATTAAAAAAAAGGTCTAGAATATACATGGAAAAAATCAAGAAATCTTTCAAGTTAAGTTTTCAAAAAGTATTCCATTTCAAGTGCAACTAAGAAAGACCGAAGGGCAGCTAGGTGGCACAATGGATAGAGCACCAGCCTTGGAGTCAGGAGGACCTGATTTCAAATCCAATCTCAGATCAGACACTTGACACTTACAAGTTGTGTGACTCTGAGCAAGTCATTTAATCCCAACAGGAAGGAAGGAAGGAAAGAAGGAAGGAAGGAAGGGAGGGAGGGAGGGACGGAAGGAGGACAGAAAGAAAGAAAGAAAGAAAGAAAGAAAGAAAGAAAGAAAGAAAGAAAGAAAGAAAGAAAGAAAGAGAGAGAGAAAAAGAAAGACCAAAGTGCGAAGAAAGAAAGAAAGAAAGAAAGAAAGAAAGAAAGAAAGAAAGAAAGAGAGAGAGAAAAAGAAAGACCAAAGTGCCATTATATACCTTAATGGGGAAAAAAAATGAATGTTTACAAAATTCCTAACCATAACCCCCCCTGGTATATGCCATAGGATACATAAAACAAAAAACAAACAAAAAAATGAGAGAATGCCTGCTCACAAAGGGCTTGTGACCACTCAGTTAAAGGTTGCTTTAGGCCTATGCTTTCATTAACCCCCTCTACCATTGCAGACTATCAACTCCTTTATAATTTAGGATCTTAAGGCACTAAGGGATTAAGTGACTTTCCTAGGATTGATAGGTAATATGTGACAGACGGGACTTGCACCTAGGTCTTCCTGACTCATATTATGCCACACTACCTTTTTAATTGTATTATCTCTAAGAGGTATGCTAAGCTAATCAGTAGCACAGATGGTAAAGGAGTTGAACAACTGGTCAGAAAGAGATCACAGGGGTCTCTTTGCTAACACTGGGGGTAGGACTCTGTTGCAATGCCTATACTCAGATCCAAGTCACAACCCTTAGTCTCAGGGTTACGAGGAGCACTAGCATATCAGAGCTTGTGGCTGCAAGGAAGCAGGGACCCTGGTCACATTTCCAGGGCAGAAAAGAGTGCTTGTGGTCACTCACAGACCACAGCACAGGCCAGGAGAGTAGTAAACACACCTCTCCTTAGATCATACCACCTTATAAGAACTGAAAACTTACAGACCTCTCAGAAAACAGCTACACAAAAATCCTGAAGCTTGGGACACATCTCCTGATACCCAGGGAGCAGAGGCCAATGTTAACATAAAGTTAAAAGTCAAGAAACAGACTGGGAAAATGAGGGAAAAACAAACAAACAAACAAAAAAAAAAAAGAAAAAAAGAGAACCTGACCATAGAAAGTTAAAAGCCTGACAAGGAAAATCAAAACACAAACTCAGATGACAAAAAAGGTCAAAACTGCTACATTCAAAGCCTCAAAGAAAAATATGAATTGGTCTCAGGCTCAAAAAGAATTCCTAAAAGACCTCAAGAAGAATTTTAAAAATCAAGTAAGAGAGGCAAAAGAAAAACTGGGAAAAGAAATGAGAGTAATGCAAAAAAATCATGAAAAAAGAGTTAACAGCTTGGTAAAAGAGGTAAAAGAAAATAATACCTTAAAAAACAAAAGAGGCCTAAGGTAAAAGAGGCACAAAAATCCAATAAAGAGAACTCCTTAAAAAATAGAACTGGACAAATGAAAAAGGAGGCACAAAAGCAAAAGCTAATGATTCCAGGAAACATAAAGAAACAATAAAATAAAATCAAAAGAATGAAAAAATTAGAAGGAAATGTGAAATATCTCTTTGGAAAAAACAACTGATCTGGAAAATACATTGAGGACAGATAATTTAAGAATTACTAGACTAACTGAAAGCCATGACCAAAAAAAAAAAGAGCCTAGACATTATCTTTAAAGAAATTATCAAGGAAAACTTCCCTAATATTCTAGAACCAAAGTGTGAAACAGAAATTGAAAGACTCCATTGCTCACCTCACTCAGCTACGTATAGATATCTGTCTTACCCTACACGAAAGTAGGAGGGGAAAGGGATAAGAGAGTGGGAGGGGGCTGACAGAAGGGAAAGATTGGGGGGAGTGATAGAAGCAAAACACTTCAGGATGGAAAGGGTGAAAGGAGAGAGAAAATAGGATTAAACAGGAGGGAAATAGGATGGAGGGAAAACAGTTTATGATCATAACTGAAAAAAAATCTTACAACAAGTTTCTCTGATAAAGGCCTCATTTCTCAAGTAAGTAACCCATTCAAATTTATAAAAATAAATAAAATTTAAATAAAGTAAAATAAAATAAATATAATAAATAAAATTTAAATATAAGAGTCATTTCCCAATTGATATATAGCCAAAGGATATGAACAGGCAGTTTTCGGATGAAGTAATCAAAGTTATCTGTAGTCATGTGAAAAAATGCTCTAAATCACTACTGATTTGAGAAATGCAAATCAAAACAACTCTGAGGTACTACACCACACCTATCAGATTAACTAATATGACAGAAAAGGAAAATGACAAATGGTGGTGATGTGGGAAAACTGAGACATTAATGCGTTGTTGTAGGAGTTGTGAATTGATTCAATCATTCTGTAGAGCAATTTGGAACTATTCCCAAAAGCCTTTAAAACCATGCATACCCTTTGACCTAGCAATACCACACTACCAGATCTGTACCCCAAAGAGACATAAAAGCAAAATGGAAAAGGATGTATGTGTACAAAAAAAATTTATAGCAGCTCTTTTAGGGGTGGCAAAGAATTGGAAACTGAAGGGATGCCTATGAATTGAGAAATGGCTAAACACATTCTGGTATATGATTATGATGGAATACTATTGTTCTACAAGACATGATGAGCAGGGTACACTCACAAAAACCTGGAAAGACTTACATGAACTGATGCAAAGTGAAACTTTGAGTTAACAGAGACCTGGGGCAGAACCAGGAGAACACTGTACATAGTAATAACAATACTGTATCATGATCAACCGTGAATGACTTGGCTTTTCTCAGCAATACAATGACCCGAGACATTCCAAAGGACTTATGATGAAAAATGCTATCCATGTCCAGAGAAAGAACTGATGGAGTCTGAATGTAGATTGAAACATACTTTTTTAATTTTTTCTTGTTTAGTTGTTTTTTTTTCCTTTTGAGTCTGTTTTCTTTCAAAACATGACTAATATGGAAATGTGTCTTGCATGACTGCACATGTATAATCTATATCAAATTTCTTGCCTTCTCAATGAGGGGGAAGGGGAGAGAGGGAGAAAATTTGAAACTAAAATTTAAAAAAAAACCAATGTTAAAATTGTTTCTACAAATAACTGGAAAAAAATTAACTTAAAAAAATCTGAGTGCCAAGCACAGTGCTAGGCAAAGTGGAAGATAGGAAACATAGATAAAAGACCTTATTTTCATGAAGCTCACAGTCTAGAAGAGGGATAAGATGCCCAAGGTAAGGAGAACTGGATTTGGAACTGAATTCAAATCACGGTTCTGCTAGTTAGATGACTTTGGACAAGTCACTTAACTATCTTGGGCCTTAGTTTCCTCATCTATAAAATGAGAAACTAGAAGACCTCTAAGGTCACTTCTAGCTACAAATTTATTATATTATGATTTGATTAACACAAATACAGATAACCATAATATACAACATTACACGACAAGTACGTTAGAGAGTTGCAAACAAGCTCTATTTGAGGTTCCAAGGGGAAGGTTCAGAGCTGATATAGGAGTAAAATCAGGGAAGGCATTATGGAAAATGTCATTTGAGCTGTATTCTAAAAGATGGGTAAGAATTCAACGGACTAAGAAAGGGGGAGCATTTGAGACAAATAGAATAACATAAGCAAAGACACAGACATGGAGAGAATCAGAGACTATATGAGTTAGGGCGGGGTGCAGTGCATATGAAGAGGAACAATATGATATAATGCAGTACCAGATTATAAATAGCCTTCAAAGATAAAAATAGATCTGAATTCTATTCAAAAGGCAAGAAGAATCCAAAGAATTTTTATCAGAAGAGTAATATGGTCAGAATAAGACATAAAAAAATATTATTCTGATCACAGGTATTCGATCTGAGGGATGGATGGAAAGGGAGGAAAACAGGAGTTGACAAACCTAACATAAAGAGACTATAAGAAGTCCACAGGGGTGGCAACAAGGACCTATAATAGGATAGAGGCAGTAGAAAATAGCAAAAAAGGTATAGAAGCTAGATGTGCTATGAAGGTAGAATTGATAGGATTTAATAACTAAATAATTATGGTAAGTATGAAAGGGAAAAATTAGAGATAACCTTAAGACTTCAAACATGATAGAATGAGTGAATGATGGTGCCACAAACAGAAAAAGTAAAGGCGAAGAAGAAAATAAATTTAGGTGGGAAGATAAGCTTGATCTTGGACATGTTGAGTTTGAGGGGTCCATGGGAATTCAGGTATAGATTCCTAAATGCAGCTGGAGATGTGGGTCTAAAGGTCACAAAGTTAGGAGAAATGAAGATTTGAGAGTCATCCGCATAGGAATGGTAGTGGATACTATAAATTGAATGAAATTATCAGGAGAGAGAATGTAAAGGAATGAGAGATGAGGGTCAAGGATAGACCCTTAAAGAACATCCATATTAAAGCATTTGGTTAAGAGGATAAAAATTCTCCTTGAAGGAAGGTTAAAGAAGAATTAAAAGAAACAAGACAATGCATTAAAATCACTTGCCCAATGACATATAACAAAGTGAATGGCTTAGAAAAACTCTCCTACTCAAATTTTGTCTAAAGCCAGCCTAAGGAGAGCTATGATTATCTAGATTTCCTGATTTTTAATCCTGTATTCTTATATATCATGTGACCTCCTTAAGACAAAACTGATAACAATCACACACTCAGTTTCTTTATCTTTTGGAAGGGGGTAGAGAGGGTTACATGATCAGAGGCCTATTCTCCCTTTAAATCTTGTTATAACATGATTCCCAAAAATCAAAAAAAGTAAGGCTAATGACAAAGCACTTGCAAAAAAATTACATCAATATAACTGTTCTTCAATTATAAACATTTCTTAAAGTATCTAGAACACCTATCCCACCTTACAAGCTCCTTTAACTTAAATATAGAATTTTTAAATGTTTTTCATGGTTCTGGTAAAAATACAAACTATGAAGTGTGATGTTATTTACAGTCAATGTCATTTTCCGTAACATGTATTGAAAGTATTTAATGTTATGAAAATTTTACTTCTTTTTTTCCACAATCAAATCTGTACTTACCTTTTGTAAATGCTACGAATTCTTCCTCCTAGCTGTTTATCAATTGCATCAGTTCCATCTGCTTTTGTGGCATACACACCAATAATTCTACTCTCACAGCTTGCACCAGATGTGCTGAGATAGTGTAGAACCCAAACAGTAGGTTTGTTACAGGCTAACCCATAAGAATCACAAAAGTCTGTCAAAGCCTGGAACAGACATCAGAAAATTTGAATTTAATTCAATGAGAATGATTTTGCCATATTGACTTTTCTCTTCAGAAAGCAATATGGTACAATCAAAAGAGTACTGGACTTTGAGTTAACAGAGACCTGGGGCTAAATGCAGCTTCTAACACTTAATGCTGAACATAATGTAGACACCCCAACAGCTTAACCTACTGAAGCTCAGAACTTCAGAGCTTAAGAGTCCCAACAGCCTTGGCCTTCACAATAACAGAGATTACAGGAATTAGCCACCGTGCTGGGTTGTCTATATTCTAAAAAAAAAATTTTTAATGTGTTCATGTCTTGCCTATCCAAACCATAGTGAAATCCTGGACTATCGTTCATGTGTGTGTGTGTGTGTGTATACACACGCACACATGGTCCAGATAGACAGATTCTTCTATAGCTCCTAATACTGTGCTATCAATATAGTAAACACTAAATAAATCTGTGCTATATGAATGTGCATGTGATAATTTCCTTCCTAACTGTCAATTGAGAATAAAAGAATCACTGAATATAAATCTTAAAGTTTTAGAAGAATTTCAAAAGATTATCTTTTCCAGCAGTCAGCTTTCAAGCAGGTAAGGTTTTTATCCCCATTTTATAGAAGAAGCAACTGATAGCCACAGAGATTAATTCATTTACTTTAATCAATTCCTAAAACAAATTCAAGAGAAAAACAAGGACAGCCAGTAAGAGGCCAGTAAGAGGTTGGTGAAAAGACACTCAAATGTCCTTCCTGAGTATTATGGCCTCAGGTCTCCTACAGCATTTCTTCAATTTCATCATACTACAGTTATGGACTATTAGCTTAAAGTCTCTGACACATACGCTAAATAAAGCAGATTAAACAAATTAATCTTACTCAATTTTAATTGGTACCAAATGCCTGTTAAAAGGTATAACATCTACCACTAGAGTGAAAGACAACTAACAAAGCTCACTAAGTCATGTTAAGTGCTAAAAACACAGTCAAAAAAAGTGTATTGCAAAAAAAGCTCTAATGGTCATAAAATGACATAAATTAATCCTCAAATTTACAAACTGTTACATTCACTAAATTTGGTAAGATTAGTGTTTGTATTCAATATGGCAATTCTCCTAACATAAGGAGCAATTATGATAAAGAGAACATGACTTCACATGCCACAATGTCACTGTTAATTTATAAACAAATTCTGTAGCCAGAATATTCCTAAAAAAAAGTAATCAAGGAATACTATATCTTTAATGTGGAAAAGAATCATAAAAATATATACATATATATATATGTGTGTGTGTGTATATATATATATATATATGTAGTTTGTATGTTAAAGTAATCTCTTTCAAATTAAAAAGGAAAAACATTAACCTTATGAGAGGTCCCAAGATCTCTTACCAAGAGGTAACAAGTTTATATGTTTTTTTGTTACAAAGAGTGGTTATTTTGGTCCAGTGCATAAAACATGCACGAATTCTCCATTCTAAAATTAGGAAAATGCAATGTCTTCACAATTTTTACATAAAACATGCTATTAAAAGTATGTGCTTTCATTATTTTGTGCTGACTGATATACGTTAATAAATACTTTAAAAGAAACTTAAGAAAATGCCAAGACCTTTTTAAGTTCTATATTTGACCTTAAAGCATATGTCTCCATTTCATTGGCCAAGTGGTCAGATAAACTGTAAGGATAAGGGATGCCAAAGTAATCAGCCTCCTCCTGCAGTGCAATTCGAGTTTGCTCATCTTTAGGAATCTGAACTTCCCCATGAAGATAATCCAAAAGATATTTAAACAGATTTCCATCACGATCAATAAGACAAGCCCCTAGAAATATACATAATACAAAAAATGATTAGACACATAAATCAGACCTTCAACAAAATTTCACCAAGCCAAATCTGTACCTAGCCAGTCCATGGATCTTTCATGATCATTTGGTGCTTATGCTGTATTTCTTAATGGGTACTTTCTACAAAAGTAGTTATTTGTTTTTCCTAATTTTACCTGATAATTATTTCACCTAGAAAAAAAAAACTTAAAAGACTCACAAAATCTTATGGGTAAAATCCCTTCTCATTCTAAAGATGAGAAAACTGGGAGCAAAATCTATTTGCTCAAGTTCATAAAACAAGTAGCAGAGCTGGGGCTAGAATTCTAGTCTCCTTACTTTCTTGACATGACTGTTTATAAAATAGATATTTGCAAATAAAGAGCTACAATGTAAATCACAATAACCAATAAATCACTTACCTAGAAATAGAAATTTCTTTATCAGGTAAAGAGAAAATATAGCAAATACACAGTCCCTAGTTTACAAATGGGGTGTTATAAAAGTTCATTTGCAAGTCAGTGGCTTGATGTGGTGGTACTCTAACTCAACTAGATTATGGGTTAAATAGACTTTTGTGAGCTGGCCTGGAAAACTAACCACTTTTTATAACATTGTTTCTATGGGAAAATGCATTCCAAGTTTCAACCTGGTACTTGGGACACTGAACACATTTCCCCACCAGATCTGGACAAAGAAGACTCTAGTTGCTGCTGTTCTACAAGGGAACTTGTCCCTCACCCTAGGTAAGGAAGGAAAGGCATAAGAATAGATGATAGTTTTATAGCACAGTGGGGAAGGAAGAATCTTCTCTAGCCATAAGGCAGGGACAGATTCACTAAGGACAAGAGACTGACTATGGTAATGATTTACATGCAAGAGACATTTTGTGCTAGATACTAAAATATCTTAAGAAATGTCTGTATTTTAAACCTAAGTCGGGTCATTTTTGCTGCTTAAACTGAAAAATACAGACAATACAACAAGCCAAACAATGTTTCTAAATATTATACTTTAACAGACCAACAGAAAGAAAATGCCTTTTCTTCACCAATCTAACACACTTTTGGGATACTCCTTCCTAGTAGTCGCTTAGAAAACAGAGTACAACAGCAGCACTTTGGAGGAGAACTGATGAGAGGGGAAGTTTCAGTCTCCCTGATGTTGTCTGTTAACTGGAATCCTATCTTATTCCTAACTGAGCACTCTAGGCCTGAGCCATCAGCACAGAGTGACAGCTTTGTGGAGGGTTTTATAGTCTTTCCCAGCTATCGTTCAGCTGGGAAAGTAATTACTTTAGACTTCACTGGCATTAGCATCAGGAATACCTCTACTCTTTATAATCATCCAATTCTTCTGATCTAACAGGAAACATGAAACAGGTTCCATGGGCCCCAAGAGGAATCAGAAGATGGTTAAGAACAGCATCAGAGCCCTGGAATTGTGTTTTTAAAGTTTTCTTCTGTATCTAGCAATAACTTTTGCATCTTTCTATTCTTCTGGATACATCACTGTATTGAAATGTTTCCTCAGGCATATGTCAGGTCATGTAACAAGACTATGTAACAAGTCTAACACTAATTCTACACTTATATTAGTTGCTCTTTGTCAGTTGTACATCAGACAGCTGCTCTCTCCACAGAAATAAGCGCTCTACTGTGAAGAACACAGGGAGAGACTAATACATCTAATCATCCTAAATACCTTTATCCATGAAGTTGCTCTAATGTAAATTGAGTTTCCAAATAAAATTAATCACATTTTTAGATCTTTATTGGCCTTGATGCTTTCTCATTTCTTCCCTAACTGAGCCAAAGCAACATGGATTTTGGACATTGACCTAAACTGAATTTAAAAAGGTGCACTTCTTTCATTTTCATATAAAATAACAAGAAAATGCCAAATATGATTCTGTTCAATGACATTATTCATTAACATACTTGTTATTATTATTAGCTAACACTTATATAGTCCTTTAAGATTTGCAAAGCACTTTACAAACATTAATTCATTTTTAATCCTCACAACAACCCCAGGAGGTAGTTGCTTTTATTATCCCTATATTATGGATAAGGAAACTGAGGCAGACAGTAGTTAAGTGACTTGCTCAGGATCACACAGCTAAAAAGTGTCTGAGGCTGGATTTGAACTCAGGTCTTCCTGACTCCAGGCCCAGCACTCTACTACACCATCTAATTTCAGAATGTTGAAGAGCAGTTAAACTGGAAACCCACTTTAATGAAGACTTATAACAATGTTTATAACTTTAATACATTTACCAGATTCATCCACCTTTAGAGGAAATCGTCCACTGAACATAGATGCAAGCATCGACTCCTTAAAGCGGCACAAGGACTCACGCCTGGCTGTATAAATACAGCCTCCCACATTAAGTCTGAGAATATCCAGCACCTCTTCTGCCTTGCTGCCTTCCATTGCTCCCACCAACTGTCCTAATTATTAGGTCACAGTACTATCCAAATCTGCAAAACAGTTGTGCTCATATGAATTTCCATGAGTGAATAAAAAAGGAATATACAACCACTATTTCCTATAATACATGAGAAGCAATCTATTTCCAGGGTTTTAAAATTCACCTTAAGTGACAGTAACACTGAATTAAAGTGCTTTAACACATAAGACAGCTCAATATATGCTAAAATGTGCAAGATCATAAGGGTCTTTTTTTAATTAATGATTCTTAAACAAATATTTTCTAACTAAATGACTTAAATTATAAAACTAAACTGAAATAAAAATAATGAACTACGGAATCATTCCATTTTCATGTATATTCTAAAGTACAATAGCTGAAAGTTAACCCTAACAGAATCAAAAGTTACCATTTAAATTCAATTTAATAAATATTTACTAAAGCCACTATGGCTAAAATTAAAAAAAAAAAATAAGCCAATCACAGTGAAAACTGAAGATAGTTGATAAGTCTGCATGTGTCCAAAGAACTCACAGAAGTCTTCTAACACATTGGGAAGGGCCCCTCTACCACGGCAGATTTATGGGACAACATAAATATACCCAGAATGTAAAGGAAATGGATGGGCTACAATTTATATCACTGGAAAAAGTATCTACATCCTATATCAATGAGATCCCAGCTCCAAAACAGTTTTGGACAATACACTATGGCTAAACACTGGGGATACTAAGAGGAAAAACTACATGGTCTCTGACTCAAGAGACTGAGGTCCCTATATTTTAATAGGTAAAGAGATGAGTCAGACATACATAAAAATAACTATACTAAAACTTACAATATAATTAAATGCACAGAAAAAGATCAAACAGAAGTATGAGAGGTATAAAGCAGGACAGCTGACAGAAGGGGAGAATCAGGGAAGGCTTCATGGAGAAGGTGGCACTTTAGTCTCTTAGGAAGAGAAATATTTCAACAGGTAAAGATATTTATGCAAAGAAAAGGGAGAGGGCAAGATTAGATTGGGGAATGGAAAGAACTCCACGTGGGGACAATAAGTGGTATGAAATAAGGCTTTAAAGATATCAGTGGTCAGCTTCTCAAGAGTTTATTATTTGTTGAAAGAATTTAAACAATAAAGTAAATTATTCAGTTAAGTAGCTAATAATTACTGTTGGACAGATAAGGTTAACAGTGGTAACCATCATTTAAATTTTACTAAGGCTTTTTCTACTAAAACTCTACTTTGATGCTTAGCTCCAACACAGAAGTGACACTAGATCATCAAAAACGACACCAATATTTTGCAAGCTTTGGCAAGTCCTACCAAGCTGGAAAGGCTTCAAGTACAGACCCAGTGATGTCTGTCTATGTCTGTCATAGAAGAATTAGCTTTATTACCAGAACTGGCTCATCACTGGAAGGTTACCACCTGGTAATGAATGCTTTCAGCCACAGTAACTAATAAATTTTTTTTTCCTAAGCCTAGAAATCAGTGAGAGTACTCACACATATTTAAGTATTAAATTAAGAAGAACCTAACCCTACACACTTTGTCACTTAAGATCAAAATTCGGAGTATACCAGCAGGCAACACATCCTCCAAGTCCTATACAGAAAATATTTAAGTCGGCTTCGTACTAAACTGGCTGAATTTTCTAGATGGTGTTAAGAGGGACAACACTTAAAAACCATTTTTAAAAGAATCAAATTCAAGAAGTCAATAAAATATCACTGACCATGGTTAAATTTATGAACCCTAAAAGGTTCCTTGATGGAAGTCATTCCTGGTTCCAATAATTAGATCACCTAACATTAGGGACCAAATTTAAAATCTCTACTAAGAGGTTCAAAAGACAACCCTGCTTTTTTCCTTACACTTTTTTTGTTTAGTTATAAATTGCTTTTGGACCTCATTCTAAGAAAAATCAAAGAGAAGCCTGAGGAATAACCACATTGATTAAGACCAACTACACCATGTCCCAAATGTTTAAAAAAGGGATAGGACCTATGATTTCATTAGTATAGGAACTACCTAAGTGAGGAAACACCATCTACCAATCAATGCAGGTCAGCACCTTCTCTGCAAATTATACTCTTTAGAGAGCTGTCTGCAACACTGAAAGACTGAGGCACAAGAACAGTGTCAGAAGCAGAACTTGAACCCAAGTTTTCCAGGCTTCTAAACTGTATCTCGCCAAATATTCACATATCCACCTAGCATAACTAACACTATCTCTCTCTCTCTTCTCCAAGCAGTCTACAAAGTAATACACCTTTCCCCCGATCCTCACTCCCCCCACACACACAACACATCATAGAATCATAGAATCACCTCTGAGCCAAGAGAACATCCCATTAAAGCCTTTTGGCCATTTGGTATGGGGGATGGTAAGAGAGTAAAAGGACTTCATCTATTTCTTAAATATCTTAGGCTCAGGTGCTACCTCTTCCAGAAACCTTCTCTGATCTCTCTCCCTAGTTGCTTGTGCTCTCTACTTCCTCAAATGTTTCAACAGCACTTTGTCAGTTTTCTCTAGGGCAGGGTTTCTTAACCAGGGGTCTGTGAACTTATTTGTGCTTTGTTTTTTGTTGTAGTTTTTTTTTAATGACTATTTCATTACTAGTTTCTGTTATAATTCTATGTTTTTATTTTATGCATTTAAAAACATTAATGAGAGGCGTTCATAAGCTTCGCCATAGCAACAGGGGTCCAAGGGACTAAACAGATGAAGAACCCTTGCTCTCAGGTTTCCCCACCCTTACTTACCAGATGTCAGTTACCTTAAGTAGTCTTCTCTCCGCCTCTACCCCCAGGAGAAAGTACGCTCTTGGAGGGCAAGAGAAACTATTTCATGTCTGACTTGGCATGTTCACCTAGTAGGCGCTTAATATTTTCCGAATTTGAATTGATAGCTTGAGTCAATACCCAAAAGATTCCCAACAGTGGAGTCCATCCGTCCGTCCACCCCCAAGCATTCATTAAGCGCTTACTACAAGCGCTTACTATGTGCCAAGCGGGGGATGCAAACACAAAGGAACCATCCCTACTCGCAAGGAAGCTCGACTCCCTCATTCTCCCCAAACCCACCAAACCCACCAAACCCACACTGTGGATCGTCCTTTCTAACCTATTCAAACCACCATTCCGGGTCACTGCAAACACCTCCAGCCCCGTCCCGGCCGAGGCCCCCTGCGGGGCAGCGGGGGGCCGAGGGGGAGGAGTCGGCTCGCGGACGGGGGCGGTGGAGGGGGTATTGTGCTCGCTCGCGCCCCCGCAGCATCGGCGGGGGCGGCTGGCACTGGGAACTTTCCCTGTCACGCAGGGCTCCCGCAGACGGGCGCTGGGGGCCACCCTGATCTCCGGGCCGGGGAACTGAGGGTGAACCGCTTCCCTCACACACCTCGGCGCGCTCCGACCTCGCCCCATCACCCAGCCCGGGGTCCCCATCCATCCTCTCCCCCCTCCCCCCTCCCCCGTCGCCGCCCCAGCCCTCCTTACCTGCGTCCCCGCCTCTCCCGGGTCGCCTGCCCCGGCCCGGAACCGAGGCCGCTACTGGCTTCGGAATGGGGGCCCGACAGGGCGTGGAGAGCTGAGCCGAGGCGGGGCAGCCCGGGACGAGGCTTCCCTCCCTCCCTCCCCTACGTCGACCTCAGGCCGGCGGCACAAAGCCGGCCCAGACACGGAAGTGGAAGCGGCGACGGCGGCGGCAGCTTCGGCAGCGCCTCCTCCTCCTTCTCCGACCTCCAGGCTGCGGGCTGCGCCCCCGTGCGGCCCCCGTGGGCCACTGCTAATGGGGGCTGGCACGGAGGGCAGCCGCGTACGGTCAGGGGCGGGGGCGGAGGCCGAGGCCGAAGCCTGAAGCCCCGCCCCCTGGCCGCGCGCCTGCCCCTCCCCCAAGCCGGGCCCGAGGCTGCTGGGAGGGGCCGGGACCGAGTGTCGCGTGCAAAGTGTTCTGTAGGGAAACTGTGAAGCGAGGGAAGGAACACGCCTGGGCCTCGCAGCCCCACCTCATCCAACTTTTCCTGATCACCCAGACCTATCTTGCACACAGGTGCATCCTCTTGGGCTACCTAAGGCATTCCTTGGACCCTCACACAAACTGCTCAGTAGGTATCCTCGTCTTGGAAAACTGGTCCCATTATGTCTTTTCCAGCCTTGTCTCCCCACTTATCTCTTAGAAGTAGGGCTTCTAGCCTTATTTCCCTGTGAGTCTTTCTTAAGGTGACCGATATCACAACTGAAAAATATAGGCCATAACTAAGCTCATTAGATCATTAAGATTTAGATCTGGAAGCAACTTCAAAGGTCATTTCTTCAAGGCCATCTTTATTTTATAAGGAAACCTAGGCCCAGATATGTTAAATGTTAAATGACTTGCCCCAGATTACAAAGGTAGTAAAATAATACCGGGATTCCAACTCAGATTATCTGACCCTAGATCCTTGGTAACAAGAAAGCAGTTCCTCCCATAAAATATTGACAATGTCTACTATGCTTATTTCAAGGACAGAAAAATCACAGTATCATGAGATGTCAGAGCTGGAAAGACTCCCCAAAGTCCTCCTCTTCATAAGAGTGCTCTCTTCACTAAGATGGAAATAGGAGCTTCCTCCAGCAGGAAAGAGCTATGGGGACTGCAGGACTGAAAAAAAGAAACAATGATGCCATATAAAGAAGAGGGAGAACACAGGGCAAACCATGGGCCTGAAAGTGAAAGAAAATGTAACTCGGAAAGCAAGTCAAGGCAAAAAAACTCTCCAGAGCCCACCAGTGCTCCTTGGCACTGTGTAACTTGTCATTTTTTCCCATATTTACCTGTTTCTGTAATCATCAACTAGCCATCCTTTAAGGCCTAGTTCAAATCCACCTCTCCCCTGAAGTCTTTCTGGGTACCCAAGTCAGACATGATCAATCTGTGCTCTAGCCTCCTGTGTTACTTCTGCACTTTCTTAGGGTGCATAGTCTGTCTGCCTTGACTTATGTATTACTCCCATTCTTCACTCTATCAACTAGCCAAGCTGACATTCTTGCTATTTCTCAATCACAGAAATCCATCTTCCAAACTACTGCCTTGGCACTTGGCATTCCCCATGCCTGGAATTCCCTCCCTCCTTATCCTCCAAGTCAAAGAATCCTTTACTTCTTTCCAAATTCATCTCAAGCACTAGTCCCTATGTAAATCCTTCCTGACTCCTCCCTCATCTGCTAATACTCTCCCTAAACTATATTGTATTTATTTTGTAACTGTTCTGTGTAGACATAATGTGTACATATTATCTCCTCTGATAAAACTATAAGCTTACAGAAGACAGTGCTGTTTATTTTTTTGTCTTTGTATTCCCAGTACCTGACACAGATCCTGGTACATTGTAATTTCTTAATAAATACTTGATCAATTATTAGAATATAATAGATTTCACAACATTTTATAGAATATCAGAGCCAGAATAAACTTTGAAGGTCTAACTCAGTAGAGTCAAATTCAAAAAGAAACTGAGCCACTAAGCAGTACATAAGGATCCCTGAAGGCACATCTTGACTCAGAAAACTACATTTAGCATTATCTATGTTCTACTGTATTTTTATGTATTTTGTTAAATATTTCCCAATTACATTTAATCCCCTTCCAGTTGTGCTCAGGAGCATTCCAGGTGTTAATGTTGCCCTCGAGTCCAACAACTTCCTTTTTAAAATGAGGAAACTGAGGTCCAGAGAAGTAAAGGAACTTTTGTTCAAGTGACAAAGCTAGGACTATAATGCAGGCTTCCAAAAAAGCCTAATTTAGTGCACTGTACACAGTGCAATCTCTCCATCTAGAATGAAAGCATTTTGAGGGCATCGTAGTCTTATTCACCTTTAGACATTACATTACCTTATTCATAATATGAGCTCAATAAATCAAAATTGTTGAAATACCTACTTCATCAGTTACCTATGAACAATATTCTTTTATACTTCATTCTCATGCTTCTAAACTATGCCACTGATAAAGGGACTATAATCAAGTGAGTTGTAATCAGTGGTGCTTGGAGAAAGACAAGACAGTTAATGAACGAATAAGCCCTGTTCTCTAATTTCTTTTCTGAAAGGTATAATCTATAATTCCTTGAGTTAACTTTCACAGTAAAGTACAAAGCCCTATTTTTTATTCCTAGTGGGTTTCTCGTTATTCAGTTATTTCAGTAGTGTCTAACTTTTCATGACTCCATTTAGGGTTTTCTTGGCAAAGATACTGAAGTGGTTTGCCATTTCCTTCTCTAGCTCATTTACAGATGAGGAAACTGAGGCAAACAGGCTTAAGTGACTTGCCCAGAACAGACAGCTAGTAAGTATCTGAGGCTGGATTTAAACTCAAGAAGATGAGTCTTTCTGACTGTAGGCCTGGTACTCTATCCATTGCACCACCTAGCAGGGTTAAGCCAGTATTTTGGGGGGATGGAGGGGGGAAACACCCTATCCACAAAGTCTTTCATGCTAACCTCACAACTTTGAGTTGAAGCAAGTGAAGGAAAGATCTGGTCTAGATCAAAGTACAGTTGGGTAGTTTCACAATTCACTTAATGACTGGACTCAAGCCATAGGCACTGAGGAATCAAACTGACTTGAAGAAAAAGAAGTCTCTAATAGAGAACTTCAGGGATCTGTCCTTGATCATAGGTTAGTTGATTATTTTTTTTTATCAGTATCTCAGATAAAACCATGACACACTTGTCGAAGTTGCATTGGATGAGTAAAGAGTTTTTCAAAAAGATCTCAGCAAACTAGAATGATACTGAATCTAATAAAAATAAAATCTAATAGAGACAAACATAAAATTCTACACTTTTTTTTAAAGATCAATTTCTTAAGTACAAGATGGGAGAGCAATAGCTAAAAATAGTTCATGTAAAAAAGATCAGGAGTTTTTAGTGAACAGTGGAATGTAAACCCAAGGAATTGATAATGTGACATGGCAGTAAAATAAATAAATAAAATAAAACTAACCTGATCTGCATGGGAGGCATAGTTCCCAGAATGTGGGAGGTGATAAACTTGCTGTCCTAGTCATATCATATCAGTGGTATTCTGTCTGATTACGAGTGCCCTTTAGATATATTTAAGGAGGACACTGAAAGTCTGAATGTGTCCAAAAGAGGCCAGGATGATAAGGGAACTGGAGACCGTGCTTTTGCAACTATAGGTTGAAGAAGCTAAGGATGCACATAGCCCTTGTTTTTCTCCTGAGCTCCAATCCCACAACACCAACTGCCCAATAGACATTTCCAGTGGAATGTACCACAGACATCTCCAACTTAACATGACCAAAAAAGAACTTATTATCTTTCCCATAAACAACATACTTCTCTATTGGACTTTGTAACTTCTATTGAGGCCACCATCATCCTTCCATCATTCCATGATCATAAAAATTTTAGGGCCTTAGGAGGGATATGATAGCTGTCTTCAATTATTTAAAGTTCTATTATATGAATGAGGGTTAGACTTGTTGTTTAGCTCTGAGTGGTGAGGTAAATGGCAGCTGTAAAGAAGCAGATGTTGGTTTGATGTAAAGAAAAACTTTCTAACAATTATAGTTTGCCAAGTGGTATCATTCAACCAACAAACATTTAAGTGTTTTCTATGTGCCAGTCACTGTGCTAGGCACTAGGACACAAAAGCAAAAATGAAACGATCCATGCCTTCGAGGAGTTTATATTCTATGTTGAATGGGTTGTTTTGATAGGTTGTATTTGGCTGTATCCACTGAGCCACTTTATTGGAAGAAGTCACAAAACTGAGCAGACTGGATTTACTACAAATGTTACCTAACCTCAACTGGGCCTTCACTGTCTGCAAGATAATCCACTTAATTCTCGCTAAAGTATTCCTTATCCCACCCCACCTATCACAGAAATTGTTTCATAACGCCCCTCTCTACAAACTTCCTACACCTCCTCCCTCAAACCTCTCAGCTAGAAGATCTCATCTCATACTTTACCGAGGAAATATAAGCCAATTACCATAGCTTATTCTTCTCTCTTTATCTGAAAACCCCTTGACATCATCCCTTTCTCTATCCTCCTTTATTCCCATCTTTGATAATAATATAACTCTTTTTTCACAACAAAGCAAATGTTTCTACATACACTCTTTGCCCCATCTCTCCTCCGCTCTTCTCCAGCAGTTACCATCTCAATAATCCCTGCTTCTGATTCTTCAATCTCTCCTCGTTTAATGATTCCTTCTCTGCTTCTTTCAAACATTCCCAAATCTCCCTGCCCTTAAAAAAAAGTCAAAACCTTCATTAGACCCTCATTCCCCTCAAGCTACTATCCTATATCACTTGCTTCTCTCAACTGAATTCCTAGAAAAAAAAACCCCCTCAATTTCCACCTTTTGAAATCCCACCCATTTTTTAAGACCTGAACCCAATTCTAGGTCATAAGACTTTTCCCCAATTCATTACTTTCCTCACCCATTCCCCAACTCCACACAACACTTTATTTGTATCTTTCTTGTGTTAACTATGCTTTTAATTATCTACTTCAATTCAACAAACTTATTGATAGGATATGAAAAACATTATGAAGCACCTACTATGTGTCAAGAATT